AAGTAAGTGGTCGTAAGTTCTAAACAAAGATGCATTATATATTTTGAATAAAAATTTTCTTTTTTGACGGTTTTTCAAGCGTAATTTTTGCAAATCAAGGCGCACAGATAAAAGAGCGACTGATTTGAGCAGCTAATAACCTATACTAACAATCCCCATTATTTTCGGGAAAATTCAATTTTTCACCAATTCTCGCATTTTATATAAGGGGTTACATCACAATTTTTTGCAAAAAATGAGAAAATTTACAAATTTCTAGGTTTGAATGCCAATCGATTAGGAATTTAATTACGAGCTCATCGAGGTATGATATTTTCGACCTTATTTTAACCAACATCTGGTTAAAAAACTGATTTTTTAGGTCGAAAAATAGAATAGAAATACTTTAAGAATATTGTAATCGGTAAATGAATTCATCATGTTTAACAAGGAAACATTTTGAAAAGCCTAATCGTTTTATTTTCTATCGCTTGGCTTTTACGAAAATTTTCCATTTGGTTTTCAGTGCTCTTCAAACATGCCCTCCAAATCTGCCACTTAAAAATATGAACAATTCGAAATTCATTTCGAAGGCAATAAAATAATTCACAACTTTTGTCGAGGGGCAGACACAAGTGTAAGGTAAAGTGGAAACGGGAAAGGGTAAAGGGGAAATTGGGAAATGGAAAATGAAAAAGAAAAGGGCGAAGGGCGAAGAGCAAAGAGAGACATAAATTGCGAAATACTTGGGCGAAAATAATCCGGTAGAATCCCGAAATCATCGCACAGTTAGCGAGAATTTTGCAACACACACAGTTGCAGTTACACTTTACGCCAGCATTTATATACTAAACCCCCCTAAAAACCCCCCCTCGATGGCACTTGAGTGCACTTAAACCCTGCCACGCCCACTAAACCACCGCCCCCGCCCTCTGACCTCTCATATGTTGATGCTGCTGCTGCTGCTAGAGCAAGAAAGAGAAAAAGAAAAACTAAAATATAATAAAATAAAAATATTATTATTATCCTTTCATTTTCAAGTGCTTTCCATTGTGTGCGTCGTTGTGGGTGCATAAATTTATGATACCCCCGTGGAAAAGTAAAAAGTAGAAAAGAGAAGCGGAGGACGCAAAACGCAGGATGCAGGATGCAGGACGTCGGATTCTAAAGCACATTAGTTGGCAAATTGGGGAACTAGTTCAATTAATCCGCTCGAGCTAAGTTTCGGGTGGCGGCGGCAAACCCATATCCCATCGAGTCCTTCGAGTCCTGTGCGGCAATAGAAAAGTTTAGCGGTGCCCCAGAACGCAACTTGTACACTGAGAGAAGTGGAAATGGAACCAAACCCAGGGTCATAGATTACTACTAAAAACTTTAAATTAAAAAAATATAAAGTCAAATAAATATCAAATAAATTTTAACGAGAAAAATAATTTGAATAAATTTACTAATTTACTAATTTTGGTATAACTATTTTTTAAGTTTTCAAAGAGTTTATACAATTTTCATAATTTTTCTCTATTATTCCCTCTCTTATATAAACCTTTATATTTATTGAATTAATTTCCCTTATTCCCTCTATTAAATTCGACTTTACTTCGATTTAATTCTATTTTTAAAGGCCAAAAAAACAAGCATACTGTCCCAAGGACCTCGTTTCTTCATGGAACCGCCGACTAATCAGATTCTTCGATCCATCTTTCAATCTGCACGGCATCCGCTCATCTGACTGCCGGAAGTGCCTTTTCCATTTTACTTCCTTGGCGCACACAAGTACATACATGAGTATCCCGAGTATCCGAGTATCTGAGTATCCCGAGTATTTGAGTATCTGAGTATCTGTGCATACATATTGCGAGTTGTACAATTTTTATAAGGACTCCGGAGTGAAAAGTGCGGCAAATGGATGCGATTGCGATTGTGGGGCAGTGGCGTCGTATTTGCATGCAACATGGAATGAAAATGAATGATGGCAGTGGGTGGTGGGTGGTTTGGGGGCTGGAAAAATGGGCAGAGGACAGCAACAAGCTGCATGTGTGTAAATCCATTTATGCTCCAGCGCATTTATAGCCAATTTAAAAGCCCAAAGAGCTGTTGGGTGGGTAATGATAGTTGGCCACCGGCCACTGGATATATCATTTACAGGGCGCTTCACTTGGATAAACAAGGTGGCTAGCAGGGTAGTTGGTAGCGTTGATTTGTGGTAAATGACTCTCCACGAGAACCCAGTTCCGATCCAAAAACCCGCCTTGAGTCCTGCCCATATGTCCTGCTCCTGGGAGGCATTCCATTTGCATTGCGGGCCATTTAATTGCGCAGTTGGCGCATGTTTTACGACCAATATGCATAACATGGCATCCGCATTCGACATCCAAAAGTCGCAGTAGAGGGAGGAAGCGATAAAAAAAAAAGAAAGAAAGAAATATCACCGCATACTTTTCTGCGCAAGCAGCGTCGCATTTTCCCTGTACCATTGCCCAGCTAACCCTCCATTCACTCGCATAACTATGCGAAATTACGCTTATTGAGCATAGAAGATAAAAAGATAATGCCCAGTTATCACTAGTTGTTTGGTTTTCCCGCTCCCTCTCCCTTAAACGAATACATTCTATGCTTTTATAAGCCATATCCATTTATTTCCCTTCATAAAGAGTTGCCACTAAGTTGTACAAATGTTGCCACTAAGTTACACAAATGTTGCCACTTAGTTACACACATAGTTGTTCCTTAAAAGAACAAAATGGAATACCTAACATTTAAAAAATCGTAGTCATAATATGCTATTATAAGCTATCTTCCGTTATTTTCCTTCATACAAAGTTGCCACTTAGTTAAACAAATGTTGCCACTTAATTATACTAACGTGTGGTTAAACAATTCTGTTAAAATTATTATTGGTTTCTGTTTAGTTAAATTCTTACTAGCTAAAGTTAAATAGTTTACTTAAACTTTTCAACAAATGTTGCCACTATGCTTGGCTAGTGTTGCCACCTGGCTTAGTAACCTTATATTATTAATAAAATTACTCATAACATTTGTTCAATACTCACTGGTTCAGGTTGCGCTCGTTGGAACCGGACTGACTCTGGACGTTCTCCGTGTGGCGCCGCTCCTTGTGGACAATGCCCATCAGCTTCATCCATGGATTGTTCTGGGAGCCATGGCCTCCCATGCCGCCACTCTGCCACATCGTCATCTTGGCGGCTGTTTCCCAGTTCCCTGTGGCAGTGGAGGTGGCAGCAGCCGCTTTAGCTTTCTAGCTTCCTAGCTTTCTTTCCACCGAAACCGAAAACCGAAACGAAAACGGAAGGGGAAACGGAAGCGGAAACGGAAACGCACTCGCGACTTGCAGGAGTTGAAGAAACCTTGCGTTTTGGTATAACTTCAGATTCAGATTCAGATTGAGATTGAGATTTTTATTTGTAGGCAGAGGGAACAGATGCTTCTGGGCAAAAGTTGAGACTGAGTTGTGTTTGGCAGCCGCATTAATATCTTTTTAGTTTGCTTTAGTTTTAGTTTTGTCAAAGCCGAAAGAGATTGGGTTTTTGTTTTTGGATGGAATTGAACTAAGAGTTTTTTGGTTTTTTTTTAGTTTTAGTTTTTTGGCTAATGCTTTCAAGTTTCTTTGGGCGGCTAATGTTGCTTTTGCTTTTGCTTCTCTCTTGCTTTTGCTTTGCTTTTTGGTCGTGTAGTGCTGTTGCTTTCTCCTCGAATTGCTGTTTGGTTTCTTGGCCTATGTCTAAAATTAATAATCACAATGGGCGTACAACTTATCCCTTCTCTTCGATATTTCGGGATCTTCCGCTTGTTAACCAATTTTTAATGCTAATTATTGTTGGGTCTCTGCTTTCCTTTACCTTGCCTTTTGTAATTTCCGTATAGGTTCATTAAATTTAGTATGCAAAAATTTCTCTCCTTGTATATTTTGTCTTCTAGCTAAATTTTGCTGGCCAAAAGGTTCTATCGAATGGGGAATTAAGTCCGATTATTGATCGATTTGTTTGATTGAGTTATCGATAGTCGAGAAGATCGACTATTTGATACCCGTAACACTTGAATCTAAATTGCAATTATTTGGCTAAAAGAAGAATGCATTTTTGGTGCGAAACCAAAAACCAAAAATTTGATATATGTTACAACGGACATAAGATGAGATTTTGGCTATTTTTGTAACGGGTATTTTTGCAATATCATACAATTTATTTACAATTTATCCGTATCCGTAGGTATGTACAACATTTGTTCCAATTACAACTTTTACTAGTTATTTGCTTTTACGATTGCTTTTTGGTTGACTCTTTTGTTGTTGAAGTGATAGGTGTAGTTGTTGTTGTTATTGTTGTTGTTGCTGATATAGTGCATAGGGCAGGAAGGCGATTAAACGACGATATGAGAATTTACGTGCACAGGGAGCTGAAAATACAATGGAAAATAATAAATTAGTTATTAACTTGGATTGCAACAAATATCATACAATTTGGATTATATTATCATACATTAAAATCACCTATTTAGCATAATTTTATCCAAAATATATAAATATATTTATATAGTGTTGTATATTTTGCATAAAATTACACCTGTTTGCAGTAAATTATCCATAATTTATTTCTGAAATATGTATACAAAAGTCCATTTCCCAAAGGCCATTAGCATATGTATGTATATTTGGGCCCCAAGAAGCGAAAACAAAGCACTCCATCGGTTCAATTATGTCAACGACTCGGATCATCTCTTCAAATGGGAATCATCATTTAGCTTATGGGAATGTCTCAATATATTTGCAATTTTCAATGTTCCCAAAAGGGAGGTGTGGTGTTTCCCCCTGAAAATCTCGGGATACTAGGGGTTGTCCGATTCTGTCAGTCTGCTAAGTACTCTCAAGCACTCACACACACAGTCACATTTTTGGGGACTCGAGCGTGTGCACATTTGCAATGCCATCAACGTCGCATCGAGCACATTAAGAAACCATTCCACCTCGCATCACACTCTCCGTCGTCATCGTCATCGTCATAGCCATGCCCATCCTTATACCCATCTTCATCCTCCACATCCTCCATCCACATCCTCTTCCAACAAGGACGTCTGGCCAGGCCGTTAGCAAACTCATTGCCGCCCAGCTGGACACCAGTTATAGCCCCAGAATATATAATTATAAAATCGACAGCCAAGAGCGCAGGAATCGAGTATCCAGCTGTGAGATACTCACTAAATGGAATTATTATTTTAACTGATTTTATTTTAGTTTTTTGCGGGAATAATTCCAACAATCAAAAAGTCATTAAAGGGTAAAAATCTTTATAAATAAAATAAACTCAAACCAAACATTCAAGACTTCTTTAAAGTATTTAAATTCTTATAAAAATTATAATTAAATAATCACTAAATGTAACTGATTTTTATTTTTATGGGAATAATACCAATAATCAAAAAGCCATTTCAGCAACAAAATCTTTATTAAAAAAATAACTCGATTATTGAAGACCTTTTAAAAGCCTTCAAAATATCTCTAGATATCGCAATTAAATTCCTATTTAAATCAAAAATAAACAAGAGCTTGGAGTTAATTAAAAAAAAATATATACAAGTAAATTCCCAACAAGCATTTTAAGCTAAAGGCTAATTTGCAACAGTGATTCAGTTTGTAAGCAATTTAGCATTCAGAAATGCCTTTCACGCCCGAAAAGAAAATGGAAATGCAGATTGAGATGAAAATGGAAATGAAAATGCAGAAGAAAAAGAAGGCCCCAGACGCATTATGGGCATCATGGGTTAAACAAAGGCAACTCCGACAGCAGTTTCATATCCAGCTTTCAGTTTCCCAGTTTTCCAGCTTCTCAGTTTTCCAGCAACACGAAGCATTTAACCGTACGCCATTCACCAATTTTGTCAGATTGCAAAGTTCACTCGAGCATGAGGCATTCAGGATTCAGCTGGAGGAATGGAGGGATGGAGATGAAGGATGAGCTGCGGATTCTAAAGCCCCTTTCCCTCATTTTTTATCGCTTTTGTTGCAGTTTGTCGCCTGTAGCCTGTCGGCTGTCGTCAGCCAACTTGCAACGCTTCAACTCGACGATCTGTCAACGTCAACGGTGCGTATGATATATTTTTATTGTGCATCTGCCACGAATCCCACCCATTTACCACTTGGCCCCTGGAAGAACTGAGCCCGGGACCAATTTAAACTAATTACACCCCGAGTCTCACTCTCTGTAAATACTTAGATTGTCATGCCAACCAGCGAGGCCCCACAATCTGCATTATTTACACAAAAATTATATGCCATTATGAGCACTAGCACCTGGCCAAACTGAAGGATAGGCAAGGGGATGGGCATAAGGATGAGGATGGTTCGAGTGGCCGAAGGACGGGATTATAAGGCATGTCCTGTGGCTGCACAATGCTTTCACAGGACAGCTGCAATTATTTATTACAAAACGAACGGAAAAAAAGGGGAAAGAATACACGGAAAAGGGAGTAAAAAAGAAGGAAAGAGCATTTAATGCAGTTACTTATACACTTTTTAAAATTAAGTTCCTTGCCTCTGTGATTTGGTTTATTTAACTGTATTTTAGTTATATTTGTATTATAAACTTTTTTAGTATAAATTTTATCTTTATTCAAAAATAGTGATTTAAAAAAATTTCATATTAGATTATAAGACTTTATAGATTTTTTTGCTAACTAATTATTTATATTATTTATTAGATTATTAAACTCTATTTTAGTTATCAAATTAAAACGTTTTTATTCTAGATTTGTATCTGGACTTATATTGATTCTTTGTTAAAAAAAAAAATATTAAGAGGGCAAAAATATGAAATTTTTGTGAGATAATAAGTTTTAAAAAAATTCAAATGAAATTGTAAATCCTTTTTTTTTAAAGTAATTTATAAAGAGTTTTATTGATTAAATAAAGCTCAATTGTTTCACTAGAGTATTAATTGAGAAGCCTTTTTTCAGGGTATGAGAACTTAGTGATTTGCCATTTAAAAGCAGTTAAAGAACCTGAACCCGAAGCCAGATTCACACACCCACACCTGCCTACAGCACCTGCACCTGCTATTAATTTGATAAGCCAAAGGTGGGTCCGCAATTAGCCGGGAAAGCTGAAGGAAAGCAGGAGGACTGAAATTTAAATAGGCTGGTAATTAAGCGACGTTGTCACCTTGACACCTGGGGACTTCCCCCCGGAAGAAAAGCCCAGGAGCAGGCCCCTCGCATCGGAAAAACTTTGGCTCTGCCGCCAAGAGGAGAAAATAAAGTGAAATAAAAATGAAAAACGTGGAGAAGAACAAGTTGGCGAAAGTTCAATCAGAAAACGATTTACCCTCACGGCAATTAACCCGATAATAATGGACAATACGGCCGGGGGAAATGAAAAAAAGTGCTCCAAAATAATTACCAGCCTGGCGAAATGGCCAAATGTGAAATATTTAATTGCACTGTGTCGTTAAATAGTTAAATTTCAATTATTTAATAGTATTTTTAAAGGGTATATTATATTTGTGAGAAAGTATGTAAGTATTCTTTTCTATTCTTAATCATGATCTTGTGCGTTCATTAATAGTTCCGAAATGCAGAAGATAATTTTAAAATTGGATAATGCATTTAAAAAATATGATATCTCTATCTCCCTCGCTGGCTTTACCTGGCTTATTAATCCAAATTCCAGTGAATTTTTTTTTATAATATAACTTAAGACATTTATTTATCTGATTTAGCATTGATATTCGCTTCGGTGACTTTCTAGCATCCAGACTTTCTAGTTGAAAGTCCCCAAAGTCCCCGAAGCAACGCTGTCTTCTCACCTCAGCCGCCATCCTGATTTCGGAATTCCCCTAGCCGACTCCCCAATCTCGACTTCTCATCCTCAATCCGGAATCCTCATTTTCATTCCTGAGAGAATCCGGCGTGTCACCCGACATTCATTCCCCCCAACGGATAGTTTCCTGCCACGCGCAACTTGACGGGGGATTTTGGGTAAACATTTTTTGGCCAACGCTAAGCTCCCCATTGAATATTTAATTAGGCAAATTATGGCGGGGCCGGGAAAGGATTGCCATCCTGGTCACCTGGCTTGCCACCTGAGTTGCCGGGGGCAGCTGGCTTTTGCCGAAGCAGAAAACAGAAACAAAAATAAGCTTCCTCCTGGCAACCTGGTGTTGGATCAATATCAATGCCAAATAGCAGCAGCTATTCCGTTTGGAAGGCACAAAGATAGAAGTAAAGGATAGCGATAGGGATAAGATGGTAGGTCAAGCGCTTATAAGGACGCCAATTACCATAATGATAATCCCAAGTGATAAATGATAATAATGATGCCAATTTTGCCAAGAACAGCCCCCGAAAAAGAAGCTCTCGAAGAAGGAGAAGGCCCGACTGGAGGCCGAGCAGGCCGAGCTTATGCGGATTGAAATGGAGAAGGAGAAGTGGGTAGCTAATACACCAGTTTAGTTTTTATAAATCACATAAATGTGTTTTTCGGAGTACTTTTTCAGAGTATTTAAATTTTAACTTTAACTAGTTTAGTTTTCGTTAATTACACAAATGAATTTTTCGGAGTTTTATTTTTCGGAGTATTATTTTTTGGAGTATTATTTTTCGGAGTATTTTTCGGAGTATTTTTCGGAGTATTTTCATTTTAACTTTAACTAGTTTAGTTTTTGTAAAAGTTCTTAGCCCAGCTTAAAACAACGAAACATTTTAAAAGCTACTCCGAAAAATGGCCATAATTACAAATACCTTTGAGGAAACACCTTTGTCTGGTTAACCTAACTCAGTTGAATTTTTTCTTAGTTTAGATTCTCTAAAGTTCGCATTATTTGAAGCAGATTTCTGGGAATTCGGTGAAAATAACCTTAATAACATGCCACATATCGTATAATCACATATAATCGGCAGACTCAAGAAGCTGGAGGAGGCCCGTCAGCGGAAGAAGCTGGAGATGGAGCAGGCGAAGCACCGGCAGCAGCAGGAGGTGGCCGAGAACCGGCTGCGGAGGTCGCAGCTCAAGGACAGCATGCTCTTCTTCGACGCGGTGCGCACGGCCATCGAGGCGATCAAGGATGGCGAGCGGCACGAGCGGGACTGGGAGAAGTTCATGCGGTGCAACGGGCTGCCGAATGCGGCCAGCCCCAGTGATCTGAGGAAGTACATCCACCAGTGGCACACGGACATCGCCAAGCGGCATCTGGAGTCGCGCAATTGGCTGCTGCGCACCGACGAGCGCACCCTGCTCACCCAGGATGCCCAGGTGCCGGATCTCACGAGGATCTCGCTGCGCCAACAGCAGGGACGACTGGGCGATGTCTACTCGCAGAGGATCCAGGAGGTTTTGGGTGTTAGATCATTGAACTTATTTTTCCCTGTGAGGCTGTCACAAGCCTATCTTGCATTGGGCACACATTCACTTCATTTATTTATTTCTCTTGAAAAACAAGGAAAATTTAATCTCTATTTGAGAGAAGTTTTACCTTGATTTTAAGAATAGCATTTTTTCTTTTACAGATCCTCAACGAGTTGGACGAAATGCTGCCATTCAAGCAAAAGTCCGCCCTTATAGCCGCCGATCTCGTCAAGCTAAAGACCGAGATGAGGGTGTTCCTCAAGCAACATTTGGATGAGTTCACCTACAAGACCATGTCGCATATTGAAAGGGATATGGAGTAAGTGCCCTTGGATAACCCAAGAAAAATCCAGAAAAACATCTCAGATAAATCGCTTTGCAGAATCGATAGGCCTGGTGTTTCGAAGCACATCTACAACTCGGAAGTGTTCCAGAGTTTTGTCTGGACCTTCTCCAAGGATGCTCAAATGTAAGTGGCCTCCTTATATTTGGAAATCCTAAACCGAAATCTCTTTCACAGTGCCCTCAATCCAAAGGCCCGAATTGGTGAACAGTCTGCTCATAACGAGATCGATTTCCCCACCATCGAAATGCAAATCTCATTGCCACCCACGGTTTATCTGCAGAGCTCAGCTTTGCGGGGTCTCCGACTGAACTACGATCACTTTAGTGATTACTGCAGTAGTTACTGCTTGAAACACGCAAGATCGGCCAATGCAAGTGAGTTTGGTTTTAAAAGGAATTTATTTCTCTTGAAAACTAAAATCAAGACCAATTTAATCTCTATTTGAGAGAAGTTTTGCCTTGATTTTAAGAATGTTTCTTTTTGAATAAGTGAGAGGATGAACTCTCAAAATGCTAGTGAGTTTTGTTTTAAAAGGAATTTATTTACCTTGAAAAACATAATCAAGGCCAATTTAATCTCAATTTGAGGAAGTTTTGCCTTGATTTTAAGAAAGTTTCTTCTTGAATAAGTGAACGACAAACTCTCAAAATAGAAATATGGTTTCTTTTGGTTTTTTTTTTTATTTTTTTATTTATTTATTGATGTGATGCTATAATCTCTTGGGTTCCTCTCAGATATCCTGCGGCAAACGAAGCGGGAGTGGCGCAAGCGCAAGGAGATCCTGCAGGCTATGCTGGATGAGTGCGGCAGGGAGATTCCGCTTTCGGAGCTGGAGCAGCTCACCCAGGATCAGCACTCGGCCAGCTCCCAGCCGCCGCGGGAGCGCAGCTACGATGTGGACAAGCTGTATGCGGAGTACGAGGATGAGCTGAGCAAGGCCCATCGCAGGGCCATCGGACCGGAGGCCTACGGAATGCTGGAGACGGATGTCAATCTGCGCAAATACCGCATCATCGGCGGTGTCTACTGCATTGACTTTCTGGAAACTCCGCAGCAGGACAAGCAGCTCAATGCCAGGTCCTTCATCCGCACCAGTTGAGTTCCCATGTATATTCTTTCGATATTACTTGATATACCTGGGTATCCTTTCATTATTTAGTCACTTCGGCTAACAGCTTGGTGCACAAGGAATACTACCAGACCTACAAGCCACCGCCTCCAGTTTTGCCGGGAGTGCGACGATTGCCCGAGGAGATTGAGGCTGAGATGAGGATGATTGAGGCGGCGCTGGACAAGCTGGCATTGGTAACGCTGCAGTGGGTATTTTAACGTTAAATGTGATATTTTTAATAAGGAGTTACATCACGTTTTTTTGCGAAATATTTCACAACATTTTAAATTTTTAGGTTCAGAAAGGTATGGCAATCCATATTTGGATCAGTATTTCCATTGTTACGGACAAAAAACGAATTATTTTTTTGTGAAAAATTGGGATCTGCGTTTTTGGCAAAAATATGAATTTTTTCTTTTCGTTTTTTTGCTGTAACTTGGCCAAAAATGGTCTTACAGAAAAAATATATACTGTTTTGAGCAGATAGCAAAATAATAAATAAATCCATAACACTTTCCGGAAGATCATGAAAAAATAAAATTTTCGCCAATTTTCAATTTTTTTATAAGGGGGTACATCATGATTTTTTGCGAAAAATGGCAAAAAAATAAAATGTCCAGGTTTAAATGCCAATCGATAGGAAATTGAATAACGAATTCAGAAAGGTATGACAATCCATCTTTGGATCAATATTTCCTTTGTTACGGTCAAAAAACGAATTATTTTTTTGTGAAAAATTGGGATCTGCGTTTTTGGTAAAAATATGAATTTTTCTGTTTGTTTTTTTGCTATAACTTGGCCAAAAATGGTCCTACGCCAAAAATGAATACTGTTTTGAGCAGATAACTAAATAATAAAAAAATCCATAACACTTTCCGGGTGATCATGAAAAAATAAAATTTTCGCCAATTTTCAATTTTTTTATAAGGGGGTACATCATGATTTTTTGCGAAAAATGGCAAAAAAATAAAATGTCCAGGTTTAAATGCCAATCGATAGGAAATTTAACTACGAGTTCAGAAAGGTATGACAATCCATATTTGGATCAATATTTTCATTGTTGAGGTCAAAAAACGGAATATTTTTTGTAAAAAATTGAGATTTGGGTTTTTGGTAATTTTGGTAATTTGAATTTTCTAAAATACCTATATCCCTTAGATTACCGGATTCGGTGATTTGGTTCGAGCCACCTGTCGCCTGTCGCTGGGAAACGAATGTGGAGACCTTGGAAATGGAGCTGGCCGATGGCATGAAACCGGAGGTGGCCAAGAAATCGCCGCCGGGCGAGGCAGGCGATGCAGATGATGGCGATGCCACGAATGCGGTGAGTGGTACGGCGGCTGCCACCACGGCCACGCCCACCGAGGCCACGCCCCTGTCGACCCACGCCCAACCCAGTCCCCTGAAGAGTTCACCCCGCTGTCCACCGGCTGCCCAAGCCCATCGTTTGCGTTCCCAGAAATCGGAGATTTCCAGCAGGCAGCAGGTGCTGCGTGAAATCAACGACTTCGATCTGCGTGCCATTCCCAGCGATGTGGATTTGTATGGTCTGGTCAAGGACTTTGTGGTTCCCCGGTTGCCCCAAGGATTCTGCGTGCGGCTGGAACAATCGACGCCGATTATGTCGACGGGCTTGCGAAAGCGCAAAGTGATGTTTCTGGCGCGACAGGCACACGTTCGTTTGGGTCAGGGATTGGATTCGGATTGGGCTGGGGTGAATGTCAACCGGGATCAACTGACGATGGCCCAGGAGCCCAAAGGGCTGGGAGCCGAGTTTCTAGACACCGAGGAGCCTGCGGAGCTATTTCCGCCCCTGTGCTTCGACAAGCTACTGAAGTTCCGGCAAATGGCACCGCGTTCCAAGACACTCGTCCACCATCCAGGCTATCTGTTCTCCCAGCTGATCGAGGACATGGATCGTTTGTGGCGCCTCCAGCTGCCCAGGGATCAGCAGGAGGAGCTCATCCATCAGATTTCGGAGCAGCTATCGCCCACCGGTTCGCGATCGAGTGAGGCGGGAGTGAGGGAGGCAGATGGAGACGATGGAGGCGAAGCGATGGCGGAGAATATGCAGCCACTTAGCCAGGAGCTGGTGGATGTCCTGCAGCCCGCGGCAGCCGCCGCCGCCTTTGCCTACTACACGGGCATCTCCTTTGTCCGGGACTCACAGCTGCCGGCGGAACCGGAACCGGAAGCCGATCGCAAGGATAAACGATCGAACAGCATGGATAGCAGCGAGGAGGACGACGACGACGACGATGATGTGGACAGCCTGGTGGAGCTGCTCGAAGGAGGCGCCTCCACGGCGGCCAACACCCTGCACGATCTGCTGGGTCCGCCGACTAACAGCGAGAATAGCGACAGCGAAAGGTAGTATTACACAAGGAAAAAACAAAGGGAAAATTTTAAACTAATTCAATAAGAAACGTTCTTGAAATCAAGACGAAATAACTCTCTATATTGGTGCTTGGATTGACCGAGAAATGTTTTACTTAAACGTTCTCGAAATCAAGGCAAAATAACTCTCTATTTTGTTTTTTGGAGTGAACCGGAACTACTTAAACTAATTCAAGAAGAAACGTTCTTGAAATCAAGGCAAAATAACTCTCTATTTTGTTTTTCGGAGTGAACCGGAAATACTTAAACTAATTCAATAAGAAACGTTCTCGAAATCAAGACAGAATAACTCTCTATTTTGTTTTTCGGAGTGAACCGGAAATGCTTAAGCTAAATCAAGAAGAATCTTTCCTTAAATCAAAACGAAAAAACTTTCAATTTCGTTTTTCTCTATATTAATTTAGTAAATTTAAACGAGATATATATTTCTATATATATATGTCAAGTTGGCAGTTTAATCGCCCTGAGTTCCGTTGAATAATTGAGTGGCAAATGAAAAGCCTCGAATGAGGTTAAAACACTATTTGTAAATACTTACATATTTGCTTTTTAATTACAAATGTACAGCAAACAGAAAATGAGCAATGCGGCAGCCATAACGCAGGGCAAGTGGAGCACCCGCGATGTCCACGATACCAAGTTCAATGAGGACAAGCTCTCCATACAGTTTCGAACAGGAAGATTGGGTGAGAATATAGATTCTTCAATTTAATGTAATAAACAAATATAATCCATTTACAGGTATTTTTGGTTTCGCTTTGAATAAATACAGCAATATGCCCTATCAAACTTGGGACCTGCGGCCAGATATGAAAAAGTTGGTAAACCTAATATCTGTAGAAATATCTCTATAAATCTGCAATCTATAATCTGTAATCCCCTTTAGTCCCGGCACGATAATCTTCAGTTTCACCGCCTCACTGATCAGTTTGGATATGACAATAACCGAATCGGGATATACGGTGAATAATTTCCAGGGAGGCAGCACTCAGGGCATTACCGATATGATAGGAAAGACCCTCTCGCTGGCGGATCTCAAGGCCATGCTGATCCTATCCGCCGTGGACATTTTCCCCGACGAAGATGCCTTCTGCTATACGGAGGGATCCTGCGAGAAGAACTACGTGATGGAGATGCACTGCTATGCGTGTCTCTCCACCTTGGCCCAGTCGCACAACTTCAGTTGGTCGCGATGGAATCTTTTGGCCGGTTCCCGGACGGCGGTCCTTCTCGTTCGCGAGCTGATCGAGGGCAAGAAGGTGCCGTACTACTCCACTCTGTTGGTCACACCACTGAAGACCTCGATAATCGATTGTACGGAGGTATCGGCCAGCTTCAATGCCGTTGGCATTCCGGGCATGGAGTACTATGCCGATCTGTATCAGCTATCGCAGGCCCATGCGCAGCCGGGGAGCCTGGAGAAGCAGAGGACCATGAGTCCCGTGCTCAGGGATAATGTGGCCAAGATTCTGATGGCCATTCGACCACTTAGCTTGTGTTGATAGTTAAGTAATCGAAATTATATTAATCGATAGATATTAAAAGCATGCCTGCGGTGCATTGGGCACACGTCGATTCCTCTTTGTGTTTAAATATATGTATCTTTACTATTTAATTCATAAATATATCACCTTTTACTAAACTTCTCACGGCCTATTAGATTTAATGTGAAATATTCAATGCATAGCATACATAATGCAGGGGCCATATCGATAATTCAGCTTTTTATCCACTTAGGAATAGCGCTTAGCCACAAAGGCATCATCAATCTCTAACGAAATAGTCTCCCTCTCCAATTATAATACATTTCCATTGTCAGCAGTTTGTCTCTTCCCTTATGGACCCTTCTTATATGCGCCACCCATTAGTCCCCATTCTTATTTCCCATTCCATGCGCCCCTTGCAAAGGCAGCACAATTAACATATTCACTGCGAGCTTATCCCTTAATGCTCGCCTGGGCCTCTTGCCATTTTTTCACTTTGCCCGTCATTCCATTTTTCGGCCCGAGGCGATAAAGGAAGAAGCTAAGGGGAAGAGGCGAAAATAAGCGAGATATACAAGGGATTCGGCAATTGAATACCCTCGGATAATTGATTTACAAAAATTTCTAAAATTTTACTATCCCATTTCAAGCATAACGTTATTGTAGCCTACTTTTGAGCAGCTCCGAAAAAAGATTTAGAACCTCCAAATATTTAGTCGTATGAGTTAAAGCTTGAAGAAACAAAAATATCGATATAATCAAATCGAAATTGTGAAAATATCGAAAATATCGATAGAATGTGTTGTAAGGAAAATCCTTAAAACTCGATGACATTTTCTTAAGGTTCCTTTATTTACCAAAAACCCTAACTAAAGGGTACTGAGAATAAGAAGAAAAGCGACCACGCTGCGTATACGCAGCTTGCGTGTGGGGGGTGGTTATTTTCTTGTTCTTGTTTTTCTTTTCGAGGCTGGGAGGTTAACTTCCCGCTTATTGTGGCCGCCAGTGAAGGTCGCACAGCGCAATTGGCGCCAAGCTGTCTGACAACTGCGTCAACTGAAATACAAACGCCCCCATCTCCTTTTCAGCTGTCGTTTGTTTTGTTAATGAGCAAGTCCGCCCCAGCCCCGTCGAATCCCCCAGATTCCCGCCACCAGCGCCGCCGCCTTTCCATATGCATAAATAAATAATTAAAAAGTATTTGTCTTTCCCAAATTGAATTGAATGCGAACTGGGAATTTTGGGGCGGATAATGGCTGAAAGTTTTTCGAAGTAGAGCTGGCAAGTACTCTTTTGAAGCACTTTTTTTTACATATTTATTATCAAATATATTGGATATACACCCAAAAATAACATGATATGTAACGATGATCAGTTTGATGATCACTCACGTAATTTAAGTATAAATATTACTAATTTCTCTCTTTTTCGAAGTCGAAAAATCTCCGCGGGAGAGAAATTGGAAAAATGGTATTATTAAATATCAGTTTTACCAGCATTGCATGGTAAAAGCGACGTGCGTGTTCATTTTTGTGTGTAAAACTGGAAATTTACCAATCCAGCCGTTAGGGTATATACCCCGAAAAATCGTTGACAGATTTGTGCAGCAATTGCGGTTGGTTTTTCGGGGATGTTGTGCAACAACAAGGATGCAAAACCGCACGGTATCATAAGCCCACTTTTTGGGCTACACCCTCTGTTGGTGATCCTTTTGGCCTAATCGCATATGAATTACCGCTGACTGTTGGCTGCTTTTGATTTTTCGTTTTTTTTTTTCGGGATGCCGCCGGTGGTCGGAAGGCAAGTGCAAACTTTGGTTTCCGTTTCCGGTTCTGACACCTGTGCCCGGTTACCGTTACCCGTTTCCCGTTAACCGCACCTACATCACCGCGCCACCATTTATCTCGATTGGCTACACTAATTTCGGCTGTAAACATTTGTTTGGCATGTCTAAACAGATTTTAGCATAAATTAAATATTTTCCACATTTTGTGCGAATTACCTGGGAAATCGCATGAACATTTGCCTGACATATTACATGTGTTAAGTGCAGGGCATAACTATGCAAATGGTGTGTGCGTAAATAATGTTTGGGCTTTAATCAGAAGTCAGCACTAAAATTCTTGTTACCTGGGCATCAACAATAAATCTGGTTTTTCTCTTATTTTTATTCATTTTTTTTTTTTTTGCTTTTCTGTTCTGCACAATCTTAACAACTGTGAGTGTGTGCGACTTTAATGCGCTGCTTTTGTAGCACATATACATATACGTACGAGGACATGCCGTTAAATCCGCAGGCGGCGCACAAAAGTATGCTACGTAATTTAAGTTAATAGCCGCACACACACACACAAGGAGAAAGAGAGAGCATGACACACACTCACACACACACAGGCACGCATTCAAAGCTCCGCGTCTGTTCAAATTACAATTCATTATGTACAGGTGGCGAGCGAGTGAGTGTGTGCACACGGTGAGTACGAGTGTATGTGCACTGAGAAAAAAATCTTTACAAAATCGAATATGTGAAAAAAATGCATTCAGTTAAATACACTTTTAAAGGTGTCTAAAAGTATGCAATCAAGGATTAAATCCCACAAAAGACAACGCTACTTTTTTAAAGCATACTTTTTGGAAGTTTTTAAGGTGTTCTGAAACCTCTTAATTTAAAATAAATGCAATTAATATATTTTAATTACACAACTTCCAAGTGCAAGTTGAAATCAAGTATTAAAACAATGTTATATTTTTCAAAGCATACTTTTAGACAGTTTTTATGTGTTTTGAAACCTCTATATGTCAAATAAACTAAGATAATATATTTTAATTAAACGCTTTTTGCTAGACTTTATGCCCAGTGCATGTTGCGTGGTGTGAGCGAGAGGGAGCCATTGTCAAGCAGCGCGGCTGTGACGCAAGCAGGCTTTAAGCCCCAGCAGAGACGCGACTGAGGCTGCGGCAGAGACTTCCGCATGCGACACTTGAAATGTCGCTCCTTCTGCGTGCCACTGCTTGCCTTGATTACAGTTGCGACTTGCAAGGCACTTCAACTGCTGGGTAAAAACGGTTGCATAGCTAAAACCGAATCCTAACTCCTCGCTCTTAAACACCCAATATCACTTAAAAAGGTGCCAAAAAGTATGCTACGAAAATAATGAATTTTTCACAGCACACTTTAAAGGCATCTTTAAGAGATTTCAAGATTTCTATATTTAAAAACCATACTACTATGTAAAAAACAAGGGGAATTCTGTTTAACTAGAGGGTATCAAACAAGTTGCATTCCTTATTTTTGTGGGATCCATTTTTTTGCATTGTGTTTCAGCAATTTGCGTCAAATTTCGAGTTTAAGTGTCAATTACAGCAACAAAAACATCGCGAGACATGGCAAAAAAAAAGTAAGAGGAGAGAAAAAAAAAGCGAGAGATGACAAATGACAGAGGGAGACGGAGATAGCGCTTTACACATCTTGTCTACCTTTCATCGAGGGTAGAAGAAGCAGAGGGAGCGAGTCACCTACGTGCTTGTCAAGTTGACAGCCTTCTTCTTCTATTTTTTTGCTTTGCCTTTCTTGTTTCCCTTTTTTGCCTCCTTTGGTTTCGTTTCGTTTTTAACCTCAATTTACAACGTCTCTGATGCTGGGCAGGTGTGCCTTGAAATCTATATGCATTTGTGTGTGTGTGAGTGTGTGTGTTTTGGTGTGTTTAAAATTTGACTTGCTCGAGTCCTTTTCCTTTGCCCCGCTCTTTCGGCCCTTTTCTGCCCTTTTCTCCACTTGACAGCGACGACTTTTGACTTTCTGCGCTGGCATTTTGACACAGTTGATTACGGCGCCACCTAGCGGCCGTCGCACGCAGCTAGCGGCAAGTGTGTGCGAGCGAGATGGCGTGAACGGCAGCGGCAGCGGCAGAGGCAATATTTATGCAAATGGCCCAGAGACATGTTTCCTCTCGCTCGCTCAAAAGTTTGTCATTCATTTTGGTTCTTGCACATGCATGCAACCACATGTCCTCGCACGCACACGCACACACACGAACAGAGCGAGACAGCAAGTGAGATGCATATGCGGTGTCCTAAGAGCATTATTCCGCATGAGCTACCAAATTGCATTCCGAAATTTATGTATTTCATTTGAATTCAGTTCAATTTTGCGCTTTAATCAGCGGCTGAAAGACTGAAAGAGTTGCAAATATATCATAAAAAGTATTACCTATGTTGTGTTTAAAATGTTGTATTTACTTTTGATAAATATTATTATTTATTACCAGTTGATTAGTGAAGAATTCCATATGGACGAAAGCCATTTAAGGCAATAAATAAATCTGTAAAGCTCGAGAGATTTAAAACAAATAATTTTGCAGCCTAAAAGTAGGCAACGACATTTTTATCTTCCGCCAGCTCGAGAATATTAATTGAAACACACACCAAAGAAAATTAATTCGAATATTTACAGGAAAATGTCTTCATTTATAAAGTTTTGCGACGCCCAAACTGTTCCTTACAAATATCAATGAAAAGGTTGCTTGCTAAAAAATTAAGCTCGAACATTTGCTTTGCAAAGTTTTTGCGAGCATTTTAAACTAGTTTTCAATTTAATTCGAACGTGACAGATGCTCTTTGGAGTTTGGGCGACCTTATCGACTATATCTTAAGCACTTGTGCACGGCATCAATATTTCATGGGGGCTCTCTCTCTGCTCCCCAGTCGTTTCCAGACTTAATTTAAGAGTATGGTTGAATTTTTGGAGCTTTTTTTCTTTTCTTGTTTTTGGTCGTTTTCTTTGTCGGGAAAATATTTGTGGAAAAGCGAGCTACAAAATATTTATGCAAGGCTGCTGCCCCTATGCCTATCTCTTTCCCTCTTCTGTCTCTCTCTCTTTTCCACACACGTAGATAAGTTGGGCATCCTGCACGTACCGCAATTGCAGAGAGCTAACGGTAAACAAAGCGAACCAAAGAAAACAGCCCAAAAGAAGACGAGAAAAAAAGCAAAAAAAAAAAAAAAAGAAAGAGAGAAAG